AGTTACTTTTTGCCCAGATAATCTGAAACTGAGGCTAGGATCAACAAGGCTTGCAAAAATAAACTTGCTTAAGCAGAGAGTAGAAAATATACCTGAAAAACAAGTTTCAGGTTCACATATTTGCAATACTTGAAACCTGACTCTGGGAATGATGCACCACTACTATCCAAAAACAGGAAAATGCTGGGTAGAGCACACATCTGGTCAAAACAGCTCCAATTTAAAGCTACATTCATAATTAGCTACTGGAAAATGAACTACAGACCAAGAATTTGGTCTGGGACGTTTTCAGCTCTGAATAGCAGAGCCCAGTTCTGTGAACAGGTCTCTGACACTTACTTGTGTCTCCCTGTTCTTATTCTTCTCTCTTTCACATAAAAAAAGAAATGCTTTCCCCTTGGCCTAGCTTTCATCTGCAAACTATTGAATTTCTTGAGCTCTCTGTGAGGTTATCCACTGGTTTTGATGTGGGCTAGCTCAGACCAGAGATGCACAGAGACAAGAGCTCAGCCCTGTGGTCTCTAGGGAGAGGTCTGGTTTTCATCCCTGCATGAACCAGCACCTGTATGGCTCTTTCTGACTTCCCACTCTAAGATCAGTAATTATACTGGTAAATTATAAAAAACCAACACATATCTGCCCTTTCTGATTTACATGTGTGTTTTCAGTTAGCAGGCTCTGAGTCGGACTGTGAGCTTGGCGAGAGGTGAGTGTGGCGCTCTGTTTTCTCACCCGTGGCTGCTCCCACCCTGGGCTCTTTCAGGGATGCTGTGCTCCTGCCTGGCACATTGGCACAGCAGAGGAACGAGGGCTTCCAGGAAAGGACCGTTTAGTTTTTCTTCCAAAAGAGGAAAGGGAGGCTGGCAACCCTTTGGGTTTTCAGCAAAAACTCTGGTGGCGGGTACCAGTGTTGGAAGGCAAACCAGTTGCACACTACTTCGTATATCATCTGCATCTGCTCCCATCTACATAGACAAACTTTTAATAGGGTTCCCTTAATGGAGGAAAACTTCTCAATCCTCTACTTACCGATGATGCTTTTCTTTGTGTTGGTAGACAGGCATTGGAGCTGGTACGGTCCCCTCACGCTGGACTGAAAGTTCCTTTTATTTTTCCCTTGTTAGATGCATTGGGCAGAGCAATGAAAACTTTAGCAGCTGGTATGTGTGGTAAGTTTCAGATCTGTTTTAGAGGGAAAAACTGGCAAATAATATTATTTGATGGATATATAGAGAGAAAGGCATTAAGAGAGACTGATAGCTAGAGAGCATTGCTCCTGGGCTGTCCCTGTGTTCTGTCTTTACTGACTAATGGGAATCATTTATCCATATCCTCCTCACTGACAACTGAGCTGGGCAAAACCGGTGAATGATTTTGGGGAGAAATGTTTGAATTTCCAGCCAGTGCTTGGTGTTGAGCACTCAGCACTGAGACATTGGTTTCTGGGGACTTTGATCATGTCCAGTACTTTTATAGGGAAACTGCAACATTTAACAGCTATTTGCAAAAGATGTTAATGAATATGTTAATTTTAAGACATGCAGCCATCTGTCGGTGCTGCCCACAGATGGTGATGGTACTGTTCCTCCCCTGCTGCCTCTGCCTCAGGTTCCTGATGTTGTTTTTCTTGGCCTTGCTCCTGTCCTGTGGGATCTGCTGCTGCCTGCAGTGCTGGCTGAGACGGCGGAGCTGCCTCCCCCCCCGACGCACCCTGGCCGTCTTCGCGCTCAGCAGTTCGGATGCCTTTTGCGGTTAGTCCTCTCCCTACTCACTGCAAGATCCTGCTGACCCCAGCGGGCTTCCCGTGGCCCATCCATGACCCAGTAAGAGGTGGCAAGGCTTGAGTGGGAGCCAAGCTGCAGCTGGGTGCTGTGTTTCTGGAGAACAGTGGGGTGTCCAGCTCAGGCATCTTGGGGGGATGTTTGGATGGTGGACTGGAGGGCTTAAGCAAGCCACATCCACTTTTCCCCAGCTGTACTTTCAGCTGAATTCAGTGCTGTCCCTGCACGGCCGTGTATCCCAAAGGTGCCTAGCTGGACTTGGTCACGCTAACACTGAAAGTGTCTGGGACCTTCTCCTCCATGCCAAGGCACTCAGCAGTCCGATATACGCAGCCACAGGCTCTGCCTGAGGTCAGACAGCCCGTTCCGACATATGATCTGCATTTCTTACTCTGGCAAGACTGCACTGGTCTACTTGAGCTATCCCAGCAGGCAGCTCGACTGCCTGATAAATCCTGGGGTCTGTCAAAAAGTTGTCTTGGTGGGTGCAGTTCATTGCAGTAGCCCCACTCAGTATTCCCCCAGGAGCACCCAGACTTTTGAGAACTGGGCTATAATGACTATGTGTACCACCAGCACTGACCTGGGGTATTGCCAGCAGCATCAGCAGGCTAGGCCAGACCACAGTCCCTCCAAGAAGAATAAAGTTAATTCTGTCATTAGACTAAGTCCTTCCCAGAGGAGGTACTGCCTGCTTTGTGGGTGGTCATGAACAGTGTCTCTACAGGGAGGACCCAGCCCAAACCCACCCAAATTCCTCTGTTCTCACTTTTCATGCCTAGTCTGTGGTGAGAGGCTTTGTGATGCCATGCTTCAAAAATTACATCTGTGCCTTTCTTGTTTCCAAGTGGTTTGACGGCTCCTCCCAGTCTCATCCCTCTCACCCACACAACTGCTCTTCACGCCTGTTGGCTGTATGGTTATGGCTTTGCTTTTTCCCCAGCAAGTGAAATGCCTCGGTGCCCATTCTCCGAATCTCCAAGCCCCTGCATGACTGCAGAGATGTCATCTTCTCCTGCCCCACAATTCAGCCTTGAGGGAACTGAGTTGCCACCATCCTATGAAGATATTATGAAGGAAAACAAGCTCCAGATGCCACATGTTGGCTTTCTGTGATTCTACTTGGTTCATCTGAGATCTTCCATTATGCTACAGTAGTGTGAGACCAAATCAGCCCTTTCCACAGGATGGCCGAGAGACTGAAAAGCAGCACGTATTTAATCTGAACCTAAACAGGAAGACAAAATGCAACAGAATAAATGCCAAAAGCCTGTGTTGAATCTGTCACAGGAGCTCAGCTTGACATTTTGATAGGGCTCTGGATTTCAAGAAGCTCCCTCTCAAAGGTCTGTCTATATTCAGGGTTTCTGGCTCAGCCTCCGGATTTATCTCTCTAAGGCTGCTCGAGCTGGTGCAACCCCATGTGTTTTAGGACCGAATGTTGATAAATGGCTTGATAGTTACTTCTCAGACTTGGGCTGCCTCCTTCACTCAGCATGGTGCCAACAAACACCCTCTGGCAAAGTCATGTTGTTCTAATACATTGTAATGCAATCATGCCACTCTGCGATGAAGGATCGTTTGCCACATTTAAAATATTTAGCACAGAAGATCAGATTTGTCTAGTGCAAAATGCAGGAAATTTATGGCCAGGGAAGGGAAAGCAAGAGATAGGGATTATGGGGGTAGTAGCAGCAGCAGGAACTGGTTACAGAGCACAAAAAGAGTGAGTTTGCTCATTTGAGCTGTTCTTAATTTCATGGTGACTGTCCCCAGCTACTCTTGCCCTAGCCTTGCAGACCTACAGGCTTTGAATGGCCCAGGACCCACATGGCAGCTCCCCACAGACATCAATTATGAGGTTAGGTATTTGGTGCTTAGCTACAAAAATTTATTAGGATAAAGAATGTCATTTTCTTCGAGGTAACCACTGCAGACAGGATGGAAAGACACTTCAAGAAGCCATCCAGACTGCCTTATACCCAAGCAGGATCAGCTCTGCCTAAGCCGTTCCTAGGAGGCAGTAGCTTGCCTAGTTCTCAAATTACTGAGGAAAGATGCCAAATTTCCCCCTTAGCTGGATTCCAGATGAAAGGAAATATTTCCTTTGTTTGTCATAAGCAGGTCACTGAAGGCTGGATTCAGCCTGCCTGACCTCTCTACCTCTGATCTCTCAGTGGCAAGGACTGGGGGCTGCAATCAGATCCCTCCTGGAACAGAAGGTAAATGTCACCCCTAGTACCTTGCACCACATGCCTGTGGAGTCACGAGCTCACAGCCAAAGCAGGCAGCTGGGTCCATCTTAGGTACCCCAAAAGTTTGATGGAAGCCCACAGCCTGCCTCATGGAGCAGGTCCCCACCTGTAGAGTGGGGTTAGTACCAGTTCCCCTGCTCAGGAAGGAAACTGGAAAGATAAATGCACTAAAGGTTATGAAATGCTCATATATTCTCATAATGAGGCTATATAAGTACCTTTGCTAGATAAAGAATTATAGCATATTTTTAGAGAGAAATTCTCTGCCAGCACCACTGCAAATTATCTCCATAAAATCTTATTTTTAGAAGCTGTTTTAAAGTTTGACTCTCGTGTGAAAGGAAGTAAATATTACTGTAGCAAATAAATGTTTGTGCCAGTAGGCTAAAATATTACAGGGTTTTTTAATAAGGAAAATCAGCAAGTACAGACTCAGCCAGCGAAGTCGAGCAATTCCTGAGTGCCCTTTTGCTGGCTAAACTTATAAGAATTGCGGGTAATCAGCACCTCTCAGGATCAGACCTTTTATATACATAACAGCTTCCACTACTCAACCCCTTCAATTTATGCCCTGAAGCATGAGATTTGATTATGTTTGTCACTTCAGCTTGCGTAGCCTGCTAGTGGGCATTAAATCAGCCATCACTTCCTTCCCACCTACACGCTGCATTTGCTTCAGTGACCCCTTCATGGAAGTGAACTCCACAGGTTGTCTGTATTATATGCTGCATAAAACATTAGTGTCTCCCGCTTATTAATTGCTTGGCTTTAAATAAATTACTGCCTTTAATTTAATTGAATGTCACCTTCTAATCAGATGGTTGGAGAGGCTAACAAGCAAGGACTGCTCTCATTTCAATGCCTCCATCACTCTGCATCCCCCTTTCACGAGGTCCAGTAAGCAGCACTCTACCGAGGCAGCAAATCCTTCCCCAGCCACCCAACAGAGGGCAAGCGAGGCTTTCAGCAAGGCACCCAGGAGGCTGCTGCTCTTGCAGAAACATTGGTGAGAACAGGTTTGTATTTCCATGCTACTAGGGTGCATTCAAGTGCATTCAGCTTCATATTTGGGGTGCTTTAATTATTCACAAAAGGAATAAAATTATTCCATCAAAATTGGGTCAAGTGGCTTATCGCAAAGCAAGCTAGTGGCTGTCACAAAATTAGGCCACAGCCGGAGTCACCAGCGTGGGAGAACCTGTGTGCTGTGGTACTTGTGCAACATAACAGGAGCCATGGGTACTTCCAAAAACTGCTGAAGACCAGGAGCCATTGGCAAAAAAGAGTTGGTGTGGGGTTGCTTTGTGGAGGGGGACATAGACTGACCTTGCTGCTGGTTTGGTATAGGGAAGGAGAGTACCCTGAGAGGGGGCTCAGTGGGCACTGCCCTGGTCCTTGGCTTCCTGATCACCAAAATGGAGAAAAGGATGGGTTCCTTCCTTCTACAGAAGTATTTGGGATGCCTCCACCAACCTAGCGTTGCCTACAAAAGCTGCTTCTCCCGGCCTGTCCCTTTATTCCCAGGTGTTCCAGCCGAACATACAAGGTTTCTCCAGACCTGTGTTCCCATTCTTAGAAAAGCAGAGATTTTACCTGCTATCTTATGCTTTTGTAAGCATTCAGCCCTTAATGACGGCAGTTAATGTAGTTTGGCTACATTATAAGAAAAGATGAGCCGTTCCTATATAATTCATCACCTTAGGAATTGGGTCTACTTTGGAAAAGCACTTGTTCTGCTGTGACCCTCTGGCTGCTTCTCATCCTC